CATGCATTTGCTCACATCTCTCTGACTCCAGCTTTGTTAGAAAATCCATAATAGTGCGTAGGACGTCTAGTTCTAGTAGATCTTCTAGGAATTCTGTTAGGTTCATTAGAACAATTTTTGTCATCAGTTTCAACTCCATGTACAGTTCCATCGACCTGAGGTTCAGCAATCTCATCGCTTTGTTTGTATACACTCTCGTCTTCTTTCTGTTCAGATACAGCCCCAATGATCTCTTGGACTTCTTCAGGTACAACATTATCAGCTGCAGACATATTTTCAGGTTGGGTTTCATCACTTTGACTTCTATCTCCCATGTCATCAGTCTTTTCAAGCTCAGTCGTCTCAATTGTTTCATCATACGTATCATTTGTATTAATCTCAAAGGATACATTTGGTATCTCAATTCCCGGACCCATGGGGGTAATTTCTGTCATCACATCAGTGGATACTTTGTTCTCTTTGAAATGTTGTGCAGGCAATTCTTTCAAACCAGTCTCGATTCTCATGTCAGCTTCAATGGTCGGTAGAACACGTTCAACCATTGTTGCTGGCTTGAAAACTTTGCTATTTGGATTCAGTCCCCTGCTTCTAAGATAATGATATTCATACTCATCATCTGAGCTCAACGACTCTGAATCTCTCTCAGTGATGATAACTTTCACAGGTCGTCTTGAAGGCATTTTTCGTTTTGAAGCTTTTTCTGGCACTTTTGGCACTATCATTGCATCAGGCTTAACTTCATCTAAGCATGGCTTCAACAAGTTCCTATGTACCGTACGTGTTCTACCAGTTGCATCAGACTTGATAACATAAACTGGCATATCCGGACTTAGTCGACGAATAACTTGATATGGTGCTTCCTCCCAGCGATCTTTGATCTTCACACTACCAGTTAAATTGACATTCTTAACAAGAACCCAATCACCTTCACATAAACTCACATCAAACACTTTACTATCATAACGTTTCTTATTAACTGCACCAGCTTTACGTATGTTCTGTCTTACAACTTCATTGGCAAATTCCAATCGCTGTTTCAAATCTTTAACATATTGAGTAATAGTCATTTCTGATCTTATATCATCAGCTTGTACACCCATTTGAACATCTAGAGCTGTACGGGCTTCTCTCCCAAACATGAGACAATAAGGTGAATACCCTGTAGTGTCATGCTTGGTGCAATTGTAGGCATGTACCAATGGCGCTATGTAAGATTTCCAGTCAGCTTTCTGGTGGTTTTCCAATGTGCCTATCATGTTTAACAGTGTTCTGTTGAAACGTTCGCACTGTCCATTTCCCTGTGGATGATATGGTGTTGTGCGAGACTTCTCAATTCCCATTATCTGACAAAGTTCACGAATAACATCAGATTCAAAATTGCGCCCTTGATCTGAGTGCAAGCGTTCGGGCATACCATAGTGCACAATAAAGCCCTCATAAAGATGTTTTGCTGTCGTGCATGCTTTCTGGTTTCTAGTTGGAATGGCCATGGCAAATTTAGTGAAATGATCTGTTATTACTAAAATATCCTTCATGCCTCCTTTTGATGGCTCAAGACTTAGAAAATCCATGCTCACCAATTCCAGGGGCTGGCAAGTTGTGATGTTGACCATTTCAGCTCTTGTCTTTGCTCCTGCGGGTCCTTACGTCTTGTGCATCTAGGGCAGATTCTAATGTATTCTTTGATATCACACACCATTCCAGGCCAATAGAACCTTGACCGCACTGATTCAATGAGTCTATCTTGTCCTAAGTGTCCCATATTATCATGTAGTCCTCTCATAACTTTGCGTCTATGTGATTCAGGCAAAACCAACTGATAGTACTTCCTCCCATTATTCCCAAATCGCGCACGATACAAAACCTCATCTCGAAAACATAGTTTATCCCATTCTCTTAGCATGTTGCGGACAAAGGGCATCTCAGTTAACCTTTCACTTCTCTTAGGCAGATAACATTGATCTTTCAGGGTTCTCACTCGCTTGATGATGGGATCTGCTACCTGAGCTAGCTTCCAATCATGTTTCGACATTGTAGGCAATGACCTTTCACCAGGCATTTCCGGAGGCACTTTGTAATCATTTGGAATAGCTGTTGCTACATGTGATATTGCCTCAACCCATGGGGTATCACTGTCTGTATCATTACACATCACTGCTCCTTTCACTTCACTAGGTGTAATTCGAATTGTACTCTCATATCTGTCAGTACCTTCATCAGGAAGAGAGGGTATGGGTTTTGGTCTTCGCGACAAGGCGTCTGCATCACAGTTGTTACGACCAGGACGGTAGCTTATGTCAAGATTATAATTAGTCAAGGCAGCCCACCATCTGTGTCCTGTCGCATCTAATTTAGCTGATGTGGAAACATAAGTTAATGGATTGTTGTCTGTAAGGACTTTAATCTCATTTCCAAAACAGTAGTCATGAAACTTCTCGGTCACTGACCATTTCAGAGCCAAGAATTCTAGTTTGTGTGCCGGGTAGTTTTTTTCGCTTTTTGATAAACTACGGCTGGCATATGCAACTGGTCTAAGTCTTTCCATACCATCAACTTCTTGCATTTGATACAAGGCTGCTCCAAGTCCCAATGCACTGGCATCAGTATGAAGTTCAAATGGTTTGGAGTAATTGGCATAGGCAAGCACCGGTGGAGTACTCAACTTCTTTATTAATAGGTCAAATGCTTGTTGACACTCCAAAGTCCATTCAAAAGGTGGAGCTTTAGTCTTGCGTTCCTTCGTATTAGGGCAACCAGCAGTGAGGCCATGTAGAGGTCTGGCTATGGTAGAGTATCCAGGCACAAATCTACGGTAGTATCCTGCAAATCCAAGAAATGTCCTTACTTCATGCACATTGCAAGGCGTAGGCCATGTTCGTAAGGCTTCGGTCTTTTCAGGATCCGTCTCTACTCCTTTTTCAGACACTATATGTCCAAGGTATTTTACTTTATCCCTGAACAACTTGCACTTAGTATGCTTCAACTTAAGATCACAATCTCTCAATCTGGTCAGGATCTTTTCAAGACGATCAAGGTGTTCTTCAAATGTACTAGCAAAGACTATGATGTCATCCAAGTATGCTTGACAAATCTTCATATTATAGTCACCCAAACATCGCTCTACTGTACGCTGGCAACTTGCTCCGGCATTCATCAATCCAAATGGGGTTGCAGTCCATTCATATAATCCAAAAGGCGTAGCAAAGGCTGTCTTTGGAATATCATGTTCAGACATAGCTATTTGCCAGAAGCCACTCTTTAAATCAAGTGATGAAAACCACTTAGCTCCAGCCAAAATATCTAGGCCCTCTTCAATTCGAGGCAGTGCATAAGCATCTGGAATTGTCTGACTGTTCAATCGCCTGTAGTCAACACAGATTCGAGTTGTCCCATCTTTCTTAATCACTAACACCAAAGGGGATGACCAAGGACTGGTGGATTCTCTAATAGTACCATTCTCTAGCATACCCTGTAACTGTCTGCGGACCTCCTCATATAAAGCGGGTGGTATTCTACGACAGGGTTGCTTAATGGGTCTTTCATCCTTCAAGTTTATCTCATGCTTGAACAATTCACAATGCCCTAAGTCCGTGTCAGATTTAGAAAATGATTTGTGGTTTCGAATCAACATATCACGGACCTGAAGGGCTTGGTCTGCTGTAATAGGAGCTCCAGTCATATCAAAATCTAACCCACCACCTGATATGGTTGTCTTCTGTGGATTAGCATCATATGTTTTGGCCTCTGTTACCTGCACTGGTGTATGGTCAATGCCAATAACAGCCTTAGCCACACCCACTACCATCCCAGACTTAACAACTACAGGCACTGCAGTTTCATTGTATAACACAACTGGGACTTTGGAGTGTTTTCGTCCACATTCAACAGTAGTCACTATTGAGCTGAGGGTCCATTTTCTCATATCTACCACGATAATCATCTTCTAGGAGGACTTCCATCTTCTCACCAGGCGGACCAGGTTTTAAAGCACCCATGATAGTCATCGTGTGATTGGGCTTAATCACTACTGGGCTATCCAATCTAGCTCTCACCTGTCCAATATTGCCATTCCTGCCTTGGAACTTTTCTCTAGCACGAATCAATGTTATGGCTGTACGGGCTACAGGAGACAAACATTTACCCTGCTTATTTAGAACATTCAGTGGATACTTACGTGCATACAGTCCAAGCCAATTTGTGCCTGCTAACATCGGCACACGTGTAGAGTACTTAGTGTCATTACTTACCACAGCCAGAATTAACTTAGTTCCAACATCTCCAAACACTTTAGCTGGAAAGGACACTTCTAGCTCAGCAACACCATCATACTCACATATGTCATCATGAACACCTGCTACATGCAGTACTTCAGCAAGTGGCATGATGGGAACATCACTCAGGTTCCTGTCATAGAATGATTTACTTATAATAGTTACCTGAGATCCTGTATCAATCATTGTCTTACATGGCACACCATTCACCATGGCCATCTCCTCACCCAGTGGACCTATTACTCTGTCATCTAAAGGGACAGCACGATCTCCTTGATAATTTCCACGTGTTCGGCAGGATTCAACATTACCATGTGACTGAGCAGAGGGTTTTCCCTTGTGGTATTTACTTTTTGGGCAGGTATACGAAGTATGGTCAGTCTGTTGACATATCTTGCAGGGTGCTTTACACTCTTTCGCCATGTGTCCAGTCTCATTACAATTATAACATATTATGGGTGAACGTCCTCCCCTATCAATAGACTGCTGACGTTGTGATGATGGAGGTCTATCTTTAAAGTTGTTCCATGATCCACCATTACTCTCTTGAAGGGGACGATTTCTTTTTAGTGTGTCCAATACAAGGTGCTCAATCTCAGTAGTCATTTCTCGCCTCATTTCTCGTTGTTGCTCCATCAAATCTCGCTTTGTTTCTTTCTGTTGCTCCTGCATGAGTAACATAAGCTTAGTCATGTCCTTAATTTTGTTTTCATAGTCTTCCTTCATTTCATTCTCACCAGCCGGAGTATTAGAAGCTTCAGGCTGTTTTTGAACATGTGTTCGAGCTTGCTTAGGTTGTTTGGGTTGGTTTTTGGAATCAGTTTGGTACTCAGCCAGATCTTGTTCCACCAAACGAGCTTCACGTATCACTTCGTCAAAATTATCACACTGTTTGTAACAATGCCTTATTCCATTCCTCACTTGATCATCCTGGATTGTTTTCCAAAATGTCTCTCTCAGTGTTTCATCCATTTGAGAAACAAGGATACCTCCACGTCTTCTTATCAGGTTCAGGGCTGCTTCCAGGCGTACTCCATACTCTGCAACTTTCTCACCTGCACGCTGTCTGCTACTGTAGAATCTCTGAAGTAGGGCATGACCAGTTTCCACAGTACCAAATACCACTTCTAACTTGCAGACTATTTCTTTTACAGTAGCATTCTTATCTATGTTCATCGCTGTTGTGGCAGCCAGGCCTCTCAATGATTTCCTTGCTGCACGAACAACCGCTTTATCACTAAGCATATTCTCTGCACTCAGATGCTCAACATCATCCTTCCAAATTTCAAAATCTACATCTCCTTTTCTATCAGGATCTCCAGAGAATGTAGGTAATTTTGGAGGATTATACAAAGTAGTTTGGTGAGTAAATCTCTCA